CTTTCGTACTGGGATGATTACATTCTAAATATGACCATTTACTTTTTTACTTTCTGCGGTTTCCTAATTGAGCAATACAGGTAGCCTTATTCATATAACCAATCCTAAAATATTAGTTTGTTCACCAAAAAGAGACAAATCCTAGAAATCCTAAAATATTAGTTTGTTCACCAATCCTAAAATATTAGTTTGTTCACCAAAAATATTAGTTTGATTTTTAGGATTTGTCTCTTTTGAAAATATTAGTTTGTGATAATGAGGAGTTACTAAATAATCAAATTCATAATGTTGTGTCCAAGGAGATTTTTAATAATATATGCTTGTTACCGAACTTTTTATGATTAAACAATGTTCCTATGTATTTTAATGATTTTAATTTCGATCCTAATGCACGTGAGGTTATATTATTCTTCCAACCCCTATATCAGTCGGATCAAGATATATTTGCAATTGGATCCGTTTGAATAATAGGACTATATTGGACCGAAATCCTCCTCGAGCCGCCGGCGCACGATCGCCGTCGTTGTCGTGTTGAGGTCCGACGCGCTCAGGAACTCTCGCAGCCGCTCGATCAGCTCCGAATCCGATACCATTTTGGTTCCTCCGGTTCGTGCAGTTAGGCAGAGTTTTTTTTGGTGTTAAACTTAACGTTTTAGGTTTGAATGCGGTGAGTAATGGTGGCTTTGTTGAAATGCCGGTTTTAATTTTGACGCTATCAAGCTATGGAGCTTTCTATCTTTATTTTTGTTTTGTTAGTTACTGTTCGGAGATAGTGTAATGTTGATTTTAGTAAGGGAGATATTTTTGTTTTGTTAGTTACTGTGTAATATTGAGTTTAGTCTTGAATGGTGTAAGTAAATTGATTGTAGAAGGAGTTGGATGCACTGAATATTAGAAGATATATATTTATGGTTTCTGAATATTATTAAAAAATTATGGATTTTCTTAATATATTTATGGTTTCTGACAATCCATTCTTTTCACTTTAATATTTGGATATTCACATGCTAATCTATACTTATATAATAAGAATTAACATTTTTTCAAAATAGTATGTCAAATTATGGTCAATGTCGGATTTGCATTAAATATTTTCCAAAACCGGTAAGTTTTTGTCCTTTTCACACTTCTCATTAATTATGTCATTTTCACACTTCTCATTAATTATGTCCTTTTCACACATCTAATTAATTAATTAATTACGACATAATTATCATAAATCATTCCATCTGAGCTTTTATCGTTAAAATGTATAGCGATCTGTTATGACCTTATCCCATTGATATTTCCATGAAACGTCCTTATCACGTTCTATTTTTTGGTAACCACTCTATATCAATAACCGGATATTTGATTAATGATAGCACACGTCTTTATTTCAAGGAGCGGATATTCTTTGACCTTTAATTAATCTGAATTGATTGCCTTGACTTTTTAATTTTTAAAAACTCTTTTTTCAAATATTTCGGCTTTAGATTCGGATTTCATCATACAAGTCATCGGATTGTTTGAATGAAAATGAATGAAAATGTATGAAAAGAACACCAAAAACAGGTAACCTTGTTCATATACCCAATCCTAAAATATTAGTTTGTTCACCAAAAAGAGACGAATCCTACAAATCCTAAAATATTAGTTTGTTCACCAAAAATATTAGTTTGATTTTTAGGAATTGTCTCTTTTGAAAATATTAGTTTATGATAATGAGGAGTTACCAAATAATCAAACTCATAATGTTGTGTACAAGGGGGTTTTTAATAATATATGATTGTTACCGAATGTATGATTGTTACCGAACTTTTTATGATTCAACAATGTTCCTATGTATTTTAATGATTTCAATTTCGATCCTAATGCACGTGAGGTTATATTATTCTTCCAAATTTTACATCCCGTGCATCGCACGGGTTATGTATTAGTAGGAGATAAAAATATTATGGATTTTCTTAAGATATTTATGGCTTCTGATATAGGAATGGATATGGATATATATCAGAAATGGATATGGATATTCACATGCTAGTAGGGGATGAAAATATTATAGATTTTCTTAAGATATTTATGGTTATATAGGAATGACTAATGATTGTATGATTCCATTCTTTTCACTTTAATAGTTGGATATTCAATGTTATTATTAACTTTAGATACACAAAAGTTGTATTTTAACTACATGTGGATTAGTGTTGAGTGATAATACATAGAGTTGGATACGCAAAAGTTGCATTTTAACTACATGTGGATTATTGAGTGATAATACATATAGTCTCTGATATAACAATAAATAATATAAATTTCTATATTTTTACAAATTTTTCTACTATAAAATAATATTTATAATTTTGGAAATAATATAAAATAATATTTATAACTAAAGATATGAATTAACGTTTAATAAAATTTACGTACGTTGCATAAATTAACTTGGTAAAGAACATAAAACACGTTTATTTAAAATATTAAAAGTACAAAATGTCATACAATTAAAAATATCTAAATTGTTGTATATTTATTTTCGAAACACTGTATCAAATCTTTTTTCGGGGAATTGGAAATTGTGAACTTGCCGTGGCTTCCAGAAGAGGACAAGGTCCTTACCCTTCTTCAGGATTCTAAGATCACTCACCATAGCTAAGTTACAAATAACAATGAGATAAATCTTCTTAAATCTAATTAGCCGGAAAAAGTACAACTCTTTTCTTTTTCTTTATCCCTTCTCCCTGTGTTGCATCACGATCTCATACTTGGGTCAGTAAGACATCAAGGATGTCCATATTTTCTAGATTTTAACAGGGAAAAGATTAAACTTAATTATAAACAATCTCCTAAAGCTAATATTACTTCGCATTTCTTAGGATTGGCTGCCTTTATCCATGCCAAAGACAATGCAATCAAATTTCAGAAATATTTCAACCAGAAAGTGAATAATCATCCATCAATTTTGTAATTAGCTCACAACTATTATCAATGCAGGTGCAGATAATACTCAAGTATCACAAAATTTACCATTGGCTCCAAAACAGTAATTAAAATCATAATTTCTGATAATGACAGAACTAAAAGATAGAAACAAACTAAATCCGAGCAAACTAAGATGTTTCTGGTAACAGTACATGCACAAATAAAGCACATGTCCATAATCCAATTTCGTTTTGTATATACTGTTTGTTCAACAAATTATTGTGTTTCATTTGTTTGTTTATAGTGTATGTTGGATTATTATTGGACGAATATGTTGATATTAGTTGGTCGAACAGATATATTTGATTGTGAACAGGTATATTTGGTTGTGAAATGATCTCTAATAGGTTTTTCTTTTGGATTTTTGCTATGAGCTTGTGGAATTAATATTTGGTTGTGGAATCGATCTCGATTAACATGTGTGTTTTTTTAACTTTTGTGTATAGGTACTATTTCTGCATAGTAAAACACATTATGAAAATACGTTTTTATTTTTTTTTAACAGAAAACGTATTTCAAGAATACGTTTTACTGTGCAAAATTAAGGCAAAATCAATTTGGGGCTAAAATTAGGGCAAAATCAATTTGGGGCAAAATTAGGGTAAAAACGTATTTTCAAAATATATTTTATATTTTGAAATATTATTTTCTAACAAAAATTTATTTTTAAGAATTGTAAAAATTAATTTTATTTATAAAACGGATTCCAGGAATACGTTTTATCATTAAAACTTAAACGTAAAATTAATTTTAATTATAAAACGTATTTGAATAATACGTTTTTTTTTTTACTTTAAAACGTAATACCGAAATACGTTTTCCTATATTTTAATTAAGTTAATTACGTTAATTAATTTTTTTTACGGAAACCGTATTCCTTAAATACGTTTTTTTTGTCGACACCCCTTTTTTTTGTCCACTTATTTTTTTTTTAATTAAATAAAAAAATCTTCTGTTTGCACATTTGTGGACTTAATAAAATCTCTATCGTTCCGGTAAAAAAAAAGAGAGTAATTAAAAATTCACAAGTTGTTAAAGGAGGTCATCTCCATATAAAACACGACTAGTTAGAAAGTATAATAATTTTTATTTTATAAATGCAACATTCAATTTTTAATATCACGTACTGTCTGATTCATGTAATTTTATTAAATGTAATAATTATTTTCATACATTGACTTCTTTATAAATGTGTCTAGCTAGATTTTTCGAATCGAGTAATTTAAGTTCGAACTTATGCTCATTTAATACATGAGTTGTCGTGGCTTAGTTCATTTAATAACAAAAAAAATTGAGCTTTGGTTTGACTTATATAAACTCATTTCAAGTCATTCAATAAACCTTAAAACCTAGACCAAAATCTAAAACTCTAACCAAATTATTCGCGAACACGCTCGACTAGACTTGTTTGATAGACAATCTCGATTAGTTGTTCGAGTTTGACTCGTTTAAATATACAAGCAAATCAAGCTCTCGAACTTTTACAAGGGGAATCGAACTATGTGAAAGGACGACTCGGTAGTCCTGGGTAAAAAAATTTCTGGCTACGCTCCTGTGTAGGAATAAAAATGAGGTTTTGACTGGAATAAAGTTGCTCTGAGAAAATAATGTATATGATGCATGACAGTTTCTTTACTAAATTTTTACGCATTACATATTATTATAGTTGACTGAAAGTCTCTGAAACAAATTAATTGCATCTTTGCATGCATAGGCAGAATTCGAACCGACTCCGATCAGGTGAATTAATTCATAAAATCCAAGAAATAGCACACAGTTTTAGTGTATCCATCTCTCATGAAATCAGTATTAATTTAGTCAAACATGTTTTACAGATCGCCATTTTCCAAGAATATGCAAGGACTCAGAAGTCATCAGAATCATTAATGCATTTACTAATGACCCGAAACCCAGATAACAATGTTGACTGATATGATTCAGAAAGTTAATGAAAAACATATAATGCAAAATCCCCTCATATATATATATAAACCACTCACCCTACAGTAAGATCATACCCAACAGTAAGATATATAAGAATGAAGATATCTACTACACTAGTGGTTTTTGTCCTGTTTCTTTGCATTGTTCATGCCTTTGGGCAGCCAGGTGGCGGCCTCGGTGCAGGTGTGGATGTAGGAGGTGGCGGCGGCTTTGGCGGCAGCATAGGGGTCGGCATCGGGCGTGGGCTCGGCATAGGAGGGAGGTTCGGTGGTGGGGTCGGAGGTTCCGTTGGTGGGGATTTGGGTTTCGGAAGGGGCGCGGGTGGTTCGGGTGACGGTGCCGGTTTTGGATCAGGATCTCCTTAGGGAATTTGGGAATGATCATTTGTTGTGTTGGGTTCGTGCATGTGACAAATTTGGCTGTGTTGTGGTNTTTGTCTCCAATAATTTGCTCCTAAGTTTAAAGCCTATAAAGAAAAATAATAAAGTAAACACAACACATACAGCTTCAGCAATTGTTTCAGATATTGCAATCACCCCCTATAAACACAAGCAGCATTTTTTTCCAAGTTGTTTTGTCCTGTAAATCTTTATATCTTCACGATCTTGTGTGTATTGAATGGTTCAAATTGAACAGCAAAACTATCAAATTTTAGATAATCAGAGAATCAGAGGTGCGGTCCCACACAGTGAAGCGCATCATTAGATGGTGGATTCTTTTACGGAAAAAAAAAAGAAGAAAAGTTGTGGACATAAAAAGAAAAAGAAAAAAGGGAGTGGAAAAGAATAGAAAGGCCGTATTCCTTGAATACGGTTTTTGAATTTTTCTTTTTGTAAAACGTATTCCGTGAATACGGGTTCCTTTGTAAAAAAAATGTAAAAAACGTATTTACGAAATACGTGCTTTCTATGTTGGTCCACTCTCCCCTTTTTTTTTTGTTTTTTGTCCACTTATTATTTTTTTATTAATAAATATATAAATCTCCCTTAGATGGTGAGCTTAGATCCTCCTAAGTAGGGCTCCATTCTTAAAAAAACCAGTTGGTGACGGGAGGAGTAACCCATTATGCTTATAAATTAAGTTTATTTATCCTATCAAATCAATGTGGAATGACTCACAAATAATATTTCAGCAAAAACAACCTCAATTGTTCAGATATTGCTATTACTCCCTATAAAAACAACCACCAATTTATTCCAAGTTGTTTTTTCCTGTAAATATTTATATCTTCCATATAGAAAACGAGAAGCTACATGCACAGATCCATGATATTCCATATAGAGCTCGGTTAGTTTGCAATGAAGTATTTTGTACCACACTGCCCATCCTAGTCACAATCCTTTTTAAGGATCAAAAGAATTTGATTTGGTCTAAGAAATAGGAGGACATGGCATCTCTACCATCTGTTTCCCACATACCATTCAATCAATCGGCTTCAGAAATCACCCACTCAACTGTTTCCGAGGAAAAAAAAAAAGTTCCCATTAGTTATTATTGAGCAAATGCAACAATCAAATATGACCAGGTGAAATTTTTTAGTCGGATAATTAGACAAAATACTAGACTGGAATAAATCAACAAAAATGTGTAGCATGCAAAATATGAATTAGTACCTTAAGTGCATCTGCAAAAAAACAAAGCTACACCAATCACATCCTAACTTCTATGCCTTCTTTTAGTAGGTGCTCTTTCACAGACTGGACGGGCACCTGCGATACATGAAATGACGACATAGACAACAACCAATCAGTAAAAAGCCAGAAATGAGAATAATGTAATGTCCCCATTCATTTATTAAAAGTGGCAACTAGGGTCATTACGTCGTGAATGTATCTTTGAAACTTTTCTTCAGTTAAATTCTCATCAAAATAATTTATTTTATGATCAACTCCCTTCTCAGTGTGAATTGTTCAATCATAATTAAGTATACCAACCAAGTTAATAATTTATAATGGTTATTTTATAAATAATCTGGCATTACAGGGTCACAATGCATTATAATTCGCTGGTTAGCTTTTCTCAAACTGTACCTCTTTTCGATGGAAAATACCGGCAGCAAGGGCTGCAGATGCATCTGTTTTAGAGAAAACTTCAGAAAAATGTTCAACAGATCCAGCACCACTACTTGCTATCACAGGAATGCTCACTGCATCTGATATCAACTTTACTAGATCTATATCAAATCCTTTCCCCTGACCTGGCAAGGTACCGTATCAATACCATGGTTAACAATCAGAGGCATTATGACCTTTTTGTATAAATACTAATCATAAATTTAACAAAAACCACAATGTATCCGTCCCTTCATTCCAAATAATGATTAAGCAGTATAAAAGAGAGAAAGTGAAAGGAAACCAAGAAAGTGGAAAAGAAGAAATTTTGGGTTGTTACTGACCTTGCAATTAGAGAGGAATGGGAAAAGTTTCCATAAGAACAAAGGGTAGAAATTCAATTTTAACTTGTCATTTGGGCACATGAGAATCTATGTTTGTTTGTTTGGGTATATGCATTTGGAGTGCAATTATTACAATGTTTTCAAATATTATCAGGGAAAGAGAAGATTTTATGGAGAATTTCCAACAATCTTGGGTTCTCTCTGTCTCTTGAAAAAGAAAATGGAATATGTAGATGCCAAACACATCCTAAAGTAACAGTAAAAGAGAATGAAGACAAAGCAATAAATCCAAAGTACACCTCTATAAAATAAACCGGCTAGAAAAAGCACGAGAATCAACCATACCATCACAATCAATGCAATTTAGGAGTATTTCACCAGCCCCGAGTTCTTCAACAGCTTTAGCAAGCTCATATGCTCCAATCGGTCGGCCTTCTCGCCCACCATTCACCTACACAAGAATTACTTAAATAATTTCACACATCCAAAAAGCCAACTTGATGTTACTCAGTAAAACTAACCTAACACTAAAGGATAAGAATCAAATTAAATCCTGAGGACGGGGCCGCTGAGTGTCGATAACACAAACAGCTGGCAGCATTCACATAAAAGTCAAAAAGCCAACTGATACCGATAGTAGAGACGAGCTACTACAATATATTGCATCATCACATTTAGGGCAAAAGCAACTAATTGGTACAAGTGCACTTCTCAGATCCAATTCCTAGTGATAAACTGGTCAAGATTTGCTAATATAAAAACATCGGTTCTGTTTTTCGCATTCTTCATCATAGTATGTTTTGTTAAATCAATGGAACTGTAAGATTTCATTTCTCCAAATTAACTTGGTAAACTGGAGGAATGTGTTTTCGTAGAAGCAAAGGGAGCAACTAAAACGTACTGTGCACTGGTACCACGCAAATTCCTCACCGTTAGGACCTGNNNTTATGTATGAACTCTACATTTTTCTTTTTATAATGAATGGTTCTAGTTTTATTTTATTAGTGAACAACCTGAGGGGAAACATGTTAATATTCCTGGCTCCAAAAACCATTTTCAAGTAAAGTTTGAGCTCAGCAAACAAAGTCTCAAAAGTCAAAAGCAATGTTCACGTGACTATCACAACCGTTTACCTGGGTTTGAAACTCTCACCGACTTGAATTCAACATCCCTAGGATCCTTCACGTACACCCTACGAGGATCAATGCTTACAACCACGGCCTATGTTTTGAAAAGGTAGAAAATGCAGAAATTATTAGAGCGAAACTTTTGTTGTATAAAATAAGAAAATGCCTGTGATTATCAATTGGCATATGGAAGTCAAAAAATTATCTACTGACAATGACGAGCCTCACCTGATTCCCATAAACTCTAGAGATCTGCTCCAGGCTGCTCTTCCCTGTTTTTACCTTAGAAAAAAGCCAATATTCAACAACATGAATTCCCAAACTATACAAATTAAATTAAGAGAATAAGAAATATTACTTTGGTCTTCAGGTATTCTTCAGCAGCATAAACTGCATCACTTCCAATGGAAACCTTGTCTGCACCAGATCGGAAATACTCTGAAGCAACTTCCAAACTTGAGTAATACCTAGGTAACACTTTCTTAGTCAGCAATGCAATAAAAAATATAACCTATCACCGGAAAGTTTCTTTGTGAAACTTTCACTGTCAAGTTTTTCTACCAACACTAGAGGAAGACAAAAAGTTACAAACAGCCAACACTAATAAAGATGAGATATTTACCTGCCATTTGCATCAGTAAAATCTCGAATACCACCTCCAACTGTTAACGGCACAAATATATTCTCTGATGCATACCTCAGTACCTAGAAGACAGGTAATCAGTAAATATTTTAAATGTCCTGCTTCTATAGTAACTATCTTTGCATTCTCAACTTCGATACTGAGGTTTCAAAATATTAACGGACGACGTAACATAGACGGATACCCACAAATTACGTACATTTTGCGTCACTATTTAACTTTTAAAGCCAATAAATAGCAACAAGAAGCCATATTGAGGTAACCATTAAGATTTGGATTCCCAAGAAAACAAACCTGCAGCATTGGTAAATCACCTAGAGGGAAGTCTCGAAAGCCAGTAATATTCAAGAAGCTGACCTGTAAAGTGCAATTGAGGAATTTTCAGTTTTCATCAGTAATATATAGTATAATATTTTATATATTGTCTGTGTCACTTCTTTCTTTGACATTGCTATCGTTCGTTCTTGTGAGGTCTATAGCAGTTTGTGCTTGTTCAGGAAGCACCTTGCAAAGGGACTTTTGAATGTAAAAGCACATTTTCCAAGTAATGGGCGATTGGAGGTTAATTTGAAATGAACATTTTGCCAAAAAAAAAAAAAAATCCATTTTTTTTAATTAGGATTGGAGACTTTTGAAATGTCCAATCCATTATACAATTGTCCTCTCTTTCGAAATAGACTGAGCAAACTTCAGTCATAACCAACATTATGGAAGAGCATGGCATACCTCATCAGCTCCATCTTTATAATATTGTCCAGCAAGATCCACCGGCTTGCCAAGGTTCCTCACCTTCACGAAAAATATATCAAATCTAGTGGAGCTTTAAATCTCATGACATTATTTTATCATGAAAGAGGGCAGTAAAATTGTTCAAACCTCTTGCAACTTAGATAAGTTCAGACATTACATAAGGTCTAAACTTGAATAGTTAATAGTATTTGAGGACAAACAGCACCAAAGGCTCAACATGATAACGAAATTCTGCATGTTTCCCCCCTATATATTAAAAAAAATGTGCTGTGCACCTCTTTGATTACGAAGTTTATCACACACACCATCAGTTCGAGTATTATTAATTCTTTCCCACCTGATGAAGTTGTCGACTTACCTGTATGACCCTCACCCAAAAATAATAGATCAGATTTGGACTTTAACCCTTGTCATGTCATACCAACCTATAAACACCCAAACAACTGCAACATTGCTCGGGCATGGAGTACATTGTAATGAACATCCTGATGTACAGACCTTTTGGTATTGTTTGTAATAATCTAACTGCATCTGTGTATATTTCAGATATGCTTCATATTGTTTGCTTTCCCAATGTTTCGGGTACCATGAATTTAAATTGTTGGCATAGGTTCAAACCCACTTGTAATTCTTTTGGCATTCTATAATAGCACAACTTTAGTACACAAGGAGGGGTGCATAATTTACCTCTTCACTGACCTAAACAGTATAAGGGAAAGTTGATACAAATTTTATTGTTTTTGTGTCCATTTGACAGAAAGGGCAAGCACGTTGAACATATTAAATCACAGAGGGGGTGACACATTATTCAAAACATACGGAGGAAAGGTGCACAATTTTGTAATACCGGGTGATTTTGTTCATTTGCTATTAGAAGCAAGAAATTCAAAGATAATAACTGTATGTGAAGAGAATGCTTCAGCTTGATGAGGGAAATAAATCCGTGAGCTGACTCCAACAGCATATCAGATGTTAATAACATAAACGTCCAGCAGTTAGAATTCGCATATCACTTTTGGAGACAGGACAAAAGAGGGAATGTGGCAAGTCCAAGGGAACATTGCATTATTTTATATTAAAAACCTTACTCAAACATGATAGCTTTCTCTATCCAAAAAAATAAGTCAACAGTGTTGGAACGACAGAAAACCATATGACAGAACACAGTACTTCATGCACTCATATGGCTGTACCTCGTTTTCTTCAGTGTGCTCTCTTACATCATACTGGTCTCCTTTAGTTACAACCAGATCTCCTTTGTCATTTGCCCTCACATCAAGACAAGCAATGACCTGATAAAAAGTAAAAGAAAAGGAAAGAAAAGAAAGAAAGAACTTCTTCTTCATCTTGATTCTATGTTATAGATCTCTCTCATTCTCGTGCTTGAACATAAAATGTTCTCAAAACTTACAGCATAAATTTTACGTTATAATATAACATCGACCGAGGCACCAAGCTATAGCATTATCCATACTAAAAATTCAAGATATTATAGTACCAACATTATAAGTTAAGTAGCAAAACCAAATAGCATTACAGTTGTCATAAAGCTACTGACCCTACAACGTACCCTCTTTGCAAGCTTAGATGCATTCCCTAGCATTGGCACCTGTGTTCACATGAGATACCATTGTATTAAGTGAAGATGTTCTGTGAGATCAAAGAACAAAGGTTGTATGACATTCTAGACAGTTATACCTTTCCAACCTCAGACTTTGAATACAAAAATCTCCTCAGGACAGAAAGGCCAACCTCTGCAAAACCATTTCCCCATCATGTAAGAAAAAGATAGTTCTGTAATAGAATAAACGATATAAAGAATGGAACTGGATTCCATTCCATTTGTTCCCTAGAACCTAAAATATTTTGGAATAATTCTATCTTTGATGTCAGAATGTGCCAAATATTTATACCACCACTCTTCTCTGGGTGAAACTGAACAGCATGTACATTTCCCCTTCTTATGGAAGCTATAAACTCATCTCCATAATTACAAGTAGAAGAGATCCACTCTTTGTTATCGTCTGACTGCATAGGATAAAAATACAATTTAGCCAGTTAAACTGAGCCCACAAAAACGTGAAATGGAGATAAAGATGTCAATAATCAAGATAGAGACAAGATTAAGACATATTACTGGGATGGCACGATAAGAATGAACGAAATAGACATGGCGTTTTCCAATATCATCCAAAATCTCGGAGTCTTTTGTTACTTTGATGGCATTCCAGCCAATGTGAGGTACTCTACATCCACTTGATGTGTCGAAACGCCCAACTACACCAGGAATCAAACCAAGTCCCTTCACTGAGAAAAAAAAGGTCAGTGAATTTAGCTAGACTAAGAGAGCAATTTAGCAAATGAAACTACAATTAAGCAGTGCAGAAAAGACAATAAAAACGTGAAGGACAGACTAAAGAAGAATTCAGTTCTTAACATATTCATTTTTTATTCCCTTCAGCAATAAATAAATAAATAAGAAGAAAATGGTAACCAGAAGCATGTAACATTCATCCATTCCTATGAAAACTTTTCCAATCACAAAGAAGAAATAATGATTCGCACACAACATTTAGATTAAGGAACGAAAAAAACAAACCCTGAGATTTTACATGTTTACTGGAGAAATGTGGCTGAAGAAAGAGCAATAATAAATGAAGCATTGTAAATGAGCTTAAATTAAACCATTACCTGGTCCATTTTCCTCACTAGACTCAAAAAGTAGCTGCAATCCAAGACAAATGCCTAGAAATGGGCGATCTTGCTCAATATAATTACAGAGTGCTTCAGCCAATCTAAAAATATATATATAGGCAGTTATAGGATCAAAGACACGGGCCTGGTGAAAAAAAAAAAACTAGAGTGTCTACATTACATGTATACACTGTAGATGCGCAGAAAAAACAGCAAATACAATTCACTATTTCCATATGTTTATCAGTCTCGTGCAACATACTAAAGTCAAAAAAATAATATTTAGCCCCAAGGTTTTCCTTCTGAATGGGACAAGTCTTGTAGAAAATGTCATCCAACGGTGTATAATTAGAAGTTTTGGTGATGCAAGGAACTTATTCCAGATGATGACAGAAATGTATGAACGTTAGCTAACAAGAATGTAACATTGAATTCTGAATTCCAAGTCGCGCATATTAGCCTGACTATTTCTCATGCTATCAAGTTTCAACCTCACGTACATACAAATAGGACGCAACAGGCTGAAGAAATTGCTCTGCGAAGAGGCTTACCCCTTATTGTTCAGCACATCCATGGCAGGTGCAAACGCACCTACACCAGGAAAAATAAGACGCCGGGCATTCAGAATATCCTCCGGTGTTTGTACCTAGAAAACACCACCAAGTTAGAAAGCAGATAAACCATATTTTAGCATGTATTATAATTTCCAGTTCTCCAAATTAGACCCTTTAAGCTTTACCAATTGAAATAACATAACAAAAATGAGATACATTCTCTTTACTGATTTTCACATCTCCTAGACTATTTTGTAGCAATTCAGGCCAATAGGTGTGAGCTCTTAAATTTAGCAAACAACACTTACATCTTTAATGCCGCACCCAAGGGCGCGAATCGCATTTCTGAGACTCCTCACATTTCCAGCTCCGTAATCAAGCAGCGTCACCACTGCATGGATTTCAATAGAGTAAGCAAAAGGGGGGAATTTCTATAAGAACTCACAGTACGACATATTCGCCTCTAGTATTTCACTTATAGAAAAACGAGTGGTAACTACAATCACAAACACACACGGCCCACACACATTTCAAACAAACACGAACACGCGCGTAAATACGAATATAAAGAGAGAGAAAGAGAGAGAGAGAGAGAGAGAGAGAGAGAGAGAGAGAGAGAGGGCCACCGGAATCATCTGATGCTGATGAAGCGCGGACAGAGAACATTTTGGAACGTTTGAAGTTGAGAGGGTTGAATTGCAGGAACTGCCGAGAATGGAAACCGGCGGAGTAGGAGGAAGGGGATGAGGAATAGGAGTAGCGTGGAGAAGACAGCTGTTGAGGTGAAGCGCACGCCGCCATTCTGATTTGCCGCAGTTGGTGCAGAGGAACGGCCACCCGCAGTATCTCACCTCGACTCTGAATCGTTAGGCCGACTGAGGAGAGTGTCAAGTCAGAGTGGTAGACGAATTGCTGGGCTTCGGCAGTTCCCAATTATTGGGCTCTTGGCCCATCTAACTTTAGGCGATATGAGCGGGCTTCAGGCTCCATGGGTAAGCAATTGAACCAAATTCGGTATAAAGTATAAACTGAGGACCAAATTTATAAGTTTTTCCAGAAGTTCATCACGCTCTTCTCACGTGCCACCGTCCTCACCAGATTCTTTTCTTCCTAGGAGTAATTTTCGGTATCCATTTATTCCATCTCATCTCAACCGACTAATTAATTACTTCTTTCCGATCAAATTTTTGAAATACCAAAAAAATCCGACTGAGAAAATTCTGAGAAGATGATTCAGCCTCTCTACGCTCTTGTTTTCAGTGAAGTTGCAGTGATCCTAGTTCTTCTTTTCCGCACGCCGTTGAGAAAGCCGCTTTTGATGCTGTTGGACAGATTGAAGCAAGGCCGGGGCCCTGTGGTGGCGTCAACCGCCGGCGGGACTCTGTTTGTGATTATGATTTCACTCTTGTTTAACATTACCACGATCCAGAACCGAACCCTTGAAGGCGGCGGCGTTAATCCCACGGACCAGGTTCTCTTGGCCAATCAACTTCTCGAAGCTTCGCTTTTGGGTAAAGGATCTTATGAAAATTAGATGTCGCATCATTTGCAGACTTTTGTGAACGCCAATTATTGTGTTGGTAGTGTGAGTTTAATTTATTAATAGTTCCGGTGTATTATGAAAAGTAGATCGGGACGTTCGTGTAGACTGGTACTGATTTGATTTTTGTTTGCTGGGATATATAGATTTACACAAATTATTGGGTGGGACGGTCTAATAGTTAGACTTGTCATAATTTTTTTTAACAAAAATGCATACTTATGTTATGAGATATTGAAATGTCATTATCTTGTTTGTTTATATTGTTTTTAGAGTACAACTTTAAAGTTTGAAAGTGTGCATAAATGTTGAAAAGTATGGTTGCTTACTGATAAATTTATATATTTCGTTGATGTTATGGGTGACAAATTCTCAAGTTTATGAAAAGTACGTCTTGATTGTGGAAACTTATGCTCCTATGTTTTTTATCAAACTATACAAGAAAATGATTACTGGCTATGATTGAATTCATAGTGATATTAAGTAGTACTGCCAATTATTTAGAAGCTGTGAATGTGAATTGTGGGTGTGCAGGATTTGCCCTATTTCTGGGCTTGATGATCGACAGAATCCATTATTACATCAAAGAGGTTCGTATGCTGAGAAAGCATTTGGAGGCTGTAAAAAAGTCGGAGGATGTCCAGAGCAAGGAGAAGGGCAAAAGTAAAGTTGTTGAGGAAGATGATTAAATTAGTGCCGACATGCAGCTGACATTAAAGCTTGAGCAGGTGCCACTGCAAGTTCTTAAACCTGCATATTTTGTGTCAGTGATTTAGAATTATGCAGTAATGAACAGGACAACTCAGGGAAATCCAAATAACATTTGTTTCCTTTTTATTCAACTTTATGTTAATGACGGTTTGCTGATGTTTGAGTTATATTGCATTTTCTGGTCGTATAGCATATGACCTTTCACGTGTTTGTTATGCATAAATGGTTGCTCTTCCAACCTCGGGATAGGGATTTTTGCTTAGCCTCTGATTTCATAGTTAGGTTAAGCACTAAAAAAATAAAAAAGGTTGGTAGAGGACAGAGCTGGCTAATGTTGGGATCAACTAAAGCTTTGGGTGACCTAATGTGGGCACTGCAGATTCATTATCTGATTGGACTTCTAAAGTAAACTTACGGATGAGGGATTGTTTTATCAGGGTTCTGTTTCAGAGATAGAGTGATAAAGTAACCAAGAAATATCGCGGGAATATTGGAATAAGGATATCGATGAGTACCAAATTTTCCATTTTACCACAACATTCAATTGCTTGTGAAGATTTTAAGATAATCCAATTGTTTTTCATTATTACTTCTTCGAATCACCAGTTGCTCCCTACTAATGTTGCATCCATTTCCATCACTACATATTCTCATCTCATATGCATTACATCTTTGTTATTTTTTTTGTTATAATTTTTTTTTTCACTATCCAGTATGCTGTCACAAAAACGGGGAGAGAAAATATGAAACAAGTGAGAGAGAAAATCAAACTGAAACGATAGATAACTTTTCCGAAGGGATGTCACCGAAAGTGTTCCAAATGATGTTTCTTGTTTCCTGTGTTTGGTTCTTTTTTCCTTTATATACTTGCTGGAAGAGAGTATCTGTCTATTGCACTTGCTATTGAAATAGTTATCGATATTTCCTTCAACTTTTTAGCGCAAATGGTGAGAGGACATATACAAATGAAACAAGCAGTAGGTGGCTTTCACTTGTGTAGTTGGTTTTGCGCTGAAGTAATCGCGAGTAGTTGATAATTCATTGAACTTTTAAGAGAAGCTAGATAAGTATATGGATCAAACAGAAATTTTTGCTCTTCAAGAATCTTTTTGTGGCTACAATGAGCAACAAGAATGAATATATGGAGTAAAAGAAATATAAATAACCTCTCCAAAATGGATATGATGTGTTGCTATAGTGCAGAATTCACATTTTCTTTAAATATTAAACCGTATTTCTATCTGCATTTCTTTGCCAGTTTTCTCCAGGTTCATTCATTTGGGAATTAGTGCATCAGGCAACCTTACATGTTGCCTCCCCCTTCCTTTTTGTGTTTTAAGTTGAACCAAGTCATTTCATGAAATCGGCCCTCTTATCTAATGATAATCATGTTTGGTTGGCATTGTTTAAACACTTTTACTTTGAGGGTTTGTTTATTGAGGCCGATGCAGAAACAGTCAACATCAAAAGCTAGGGGCTTTCATAAATAGTTGTCCAAATATGTAGAGGTTTCTTGGGCAAAAATCATTAAGATGCAGTTTTGTAGCCAGTAGTGCATCCTTTGGGCAAAAATTATTAAGATGCAGTGTAATTACCAAATTTTACACGACTCAGAGGCTGGCTTTGGATATGAAATTGGATATAAAAATAAATTATATTCACTCACTTCATTTTAATGATATAATTTTCAAAATAATAAATTAATCATTACCATACAAAACAATAAGAATTATTATTACCCACCTACATATTATTCCTATCCCACAATACATATTATTTTGACATCACATCAATTTTAATAATTACATTCATCTCACCACCATTTATATTTTTAAATTATTCATTTTCTCCCCATTTTTTTTCTCTAGTAAAATAAAATTCCAACAAAAACAAATCCAATCACACCTTAACACTGAAAACATACATAGAGAAATGTCAAACACGAGCAAATCACTGGATTTGATTTTGCGAACCTCGTAACTTAGTACAGCAACTGAATCCAGAGTGCTCCGACTCCAATCCCTTGGTACAACAATGATCTTCCCACAATCTATTTTTCTACACGCTCTTATCCTTTGAATGCCTACGAATTCCGACTATGAAAGAGTTGACATCAGCATCGCGCGAATTTTGGCTCTCAAATCACCAGGAACCTCAACAGCAGTGTCCAAAGGCTGAGACGAAGCTCTATGTTGGCGACTCAGCATATCAGTACAGGTTTCTGAGCTGATGACGTCACCACTGGAGATTCCTCCACGTTCTTCAGAGACCCTCCTGCAGTGTATCTCACCCTCTTCCAACTCCTTTCTTTCATTCTCATTATACCTATCCACACGACTCTGATTGTGATGCTCGTCACTCGAGGATGTCTCGTTTTTGCGCTTGCATTGAGTTTTTTTGTCTTTACGGATATGCCTGTGTTTGCCTCTATCACGCGAACGATGTTTTTCTTTGCTTTCGTGATAATCATCATCACCTTCATCTTCCGACCGCTTGGACGAACGCCTTTTCTTTTTTAAGTGCTCACGAGAAGAATGGTGCCTACGATGTCTCTTACTACTGCACTTATGATTCTTGTCATGCTTAGAGTACTCTTCACTGTCTTCCTCTTCATCCTCACTTTCATCTGAATGGTAAGAATGAGTTCGCTCTCTTCTCTTGTGACGCTTCTTCCTGCTTGACCTGTCATGATTTTTGTCCTCTTTATTACTTTCTCTTTCATCTTCAATTTCACTGGACAAAGAATGAGACCGATGCCTTCTGCGATGGTGCTTCCCTTCAGTTTCTACTGCATTGTTTCTTTCATCGTGCTTTCCGGATTTTGATCTACGCATTCTTTTGTCTTTATCATCGCAGTCATCATCCTTGCATAGGTCAGACCTCGACCTGTATTTTCTATTCAAGGGTCGTTCATTGTGCTCACCGAAATAATTCCTCTCGGGTTTTTCACTTGTAGCGGGTGCATCAACATGAGCAGAGCCGAAATTGCCTTCTTCTTCTCGTTTGCTATCGAGATTAACTTCATCAGTTGACTTTGATAGAGGTTCTACAGATGAGCCACGTGAAGTTCCAGCTGTAGTAGAAGGCACTTGCCCACTTTTCAACATGGCCACAAACCTTTTAGCCCTCTGCAACCTTTCAGCCTTGAGCTTTTGCTCTTTGGTCAAGAGTGCCTCGGGATCAGCTCCAATACCAGGGGCAACAACAGAGACATTATGACTTTCACTCTGTGCTGACTTTTCATTTTCAACAGCATTATCTCTTATGGAGGACAGAGGATTGCTAGAATCTCCAGGCTGCCCACCTTCCTTGATATTTGAAACATATGCGCTCGAAGAAATTATTGAAGAGCTTCGAAAATTAGAATTGTTGATGCCTCTTGTGGCGGCCTGAAGGATAGCAGCTGCACTGGAAGCATCTATACGCCATTCTTGTTGGGGTTCATTTGATTCTGGTTCCGGTATTTCCTTCTTTGATTTGCCTATCACCATTGAGAATTTCTCTTTCCTATCCAATTCCAGTGGCATGTCACAGCCCAAGGATGAAAAATCATCCTTCTCCTTGATTGCCCTATGTCCTAGTAGGCCTTCCTTCCCAGAACTGGAACTCTTGCAATTTAGTTTCGACTGCGAGAGGATTAGAAATGCCAGAAACAAAATGAAATATTATTTTCCATCTTTTTTATTTTAGAAAAAAAAAAATGCAAGCCTATTTAAAAAGAACAATCAAGGTTTCTTATTTCCAAAGAATCTAAGCATGTGGAAGATCTATCAATTTAAGCAGTTCAAGGGTCTCAGGCCTCTCAAGACCAGGTTCATTCAAGAACGGCGGATTAAATTAACTGGAAGGAATTTTCCAAGCACGTCATATTTTACATTCCAACAAATGCTCTGATTTGGGTTATTGAGTAAATCAGCTTTGACAGCTTAGCTACTTTAATTTCGTATTGTTGGAAATTTATTTAAACTCATAGCAATAAAGTTAAACTTGACATATTCTAAAGCTTGACAATTATATGCGTGAAAAACTCGGATAAGCTCGTTACATCATTTGATGGGATCACATGTAGGCATGACAAAGGAAACAGGGTTATATACAGGGAAGAAGCATAGCAATTTAGCAAACCGTATCTTTTTCAAGTGGTCCAACTAGTGCATACAAATATTGCTAGAAGTTAATTAAAGCTCTTACTAAAAATGTTAATAATATCAACCACACTTGAAAAAACTCTGATCTTCACTTGAAAAGGCTCATCGGATAATTAGATGATGTCACATGTGGCACTATAAACGAAACATGGTAGAGTACTGGAAAGAAGCAAAGCAAACAGTATCTTTTTGAAGTGGTCGAGCTAGCGCATATGAATATTGTAAATAAAAGCTTCTAAGACACAGGGTGATTGGATACCATTTCATTTGGATAATTTTTCCAAGATAAAAGGGCTATTTTCCCCAAGAACTTAAGAATTTAACCATCATTAATTCAGTTTTATTTCTTCCATCACCAATAATCATTAAAACTTATTTTTTCATATATTTCGCCAGTACATAGTCATGATTTTACTACTTTTATAAGGTTACATCTTCATCTTATCCATTCACACTTTCAAGATTTTCTACTCCATTCAAAAATAAATGTATCATTATTCATTTTTCTCTCAACAAATCAAAATTTCAAAAATGAGATGTTCATAATCATGGCCCCAAAATCATGTCCTGCGATCATACAAATATAGTAATAATAATGCTAAGAAATATAACCATTTAGCAAGGTACGAACATAAAAGAAAATCCAAAGAAAAGTTTTCAAGGGGATTAATGAAGAGAAATCATACCTCCTGAGCTGTTTGAAGGACTTTTAAGTAATAAGAATGATAAGGATTTGATGGCATAAGGAAAGGAAATCTCTCATGCTGCCTCTTTTGCTCGATCAGAGTCTCCTCAAACTGCTTCCCTTTTCTCAGAGTAAGTTCAACTAACTTGTTGATTGAACCCTTTAATTCAGGTGGAGGCTCTAAAACTAATGGTTCAATCTTTGATGTCTTTGCCATAGTCAAATTCTTTGCTTTATGTACAGCAGTAGCGGATAAACAAGATTTCTCTCGCACGCCTTTTGCAGTTCCAGATTTGGATGTAATAATTGAAGAGTTCTTCACAGCGAGAACCTTCTCTGTGTTGGAAAAAATTGGGTTTTTCGACATTGGTTCAGTCTTTGGTGCACTTACCTCAGTTTTGGAAGAGTAAGTGACATCATGGGAAACATCTTTTTCAGGTATTACATTGTCATCATCCTCGTCTTCATCCCCAGATCCATAAATAGAACCAAGCAAGATTAAAGCTCCATCTACGCCATTTGGTTTGCTATGATCACTAGAAGAATTTTTCTGTTTATCTTGAAACTTTTTATCAGATTCAGAATCCAGAAGTTCAATATGCTCAACAAGATATCTGAAGTATGCATGCAAATGATGGCCAGGCATCAAGAACCCAAATGTTGGATTATCCCCCTGCTTCACCCGTAGAATAATCTCTGACTGTCCACCATGTTTGCTCACAAATAAAGCAGTCCTCGCAATAATCTGATGTACCTTCTCGGTAGGAGGCTGGAAATATGAATGCAAACGAGTAAGACCATAAGAAAGAAAATCATTTCAACAATAAGAAGTTTCAAATCCTCCACATAGCATAATATCTTCAACGTAAATTTTAACTTGAAATTAAATTTATCAATGCACTATGTAAATTAAACAATAACTCATGATATGAGAACGAAAAAGGATCAGTATGAGTTATATCATAATATTTTTCCTCTTAAACCATTAGTCTTCATAAAGAGAATGTATGATTTCCAAATCCCACCTGCAACGCCCTTGACATGGCATCAAAAGGAACAAGGTGTGTGTACGATAACCTATCACAGGTAGCCCATCTCTTCTCCAAGCTTCTGAAAACTTGACATGGTGAGCCTTAAAATACATTTGCAGCTTCGCCAAAATGCTATAAGACTACCGAGGATTTTGATAAGCAAGTTATAGAATATGAAGCCCATGCAGAATGCACAAATTCTAGACTAGAGAGTCATTCAGGCTTACCAAGGACTGCAGAAGGTCGTTGGGAATGGGGAAGCGAGGTAAAAATCCAGAAGACTCCATGTCAGCTTCTGTTTTCTTCTCGTCTGCATAATTATCAGTATCACCATATGATAATGAAACATTGTGATAACCAGGTAAGTCCACTCGATGTTTCTCCTCTTCCACATCTGAAAGATTAAATAAAAACTAAGATGTCTGAGGATGAAACGAATAAAAACAAAATGATAAAAGTGAAAAACATAGACAGTTTGTAATAGGATTAGGGAAACTACTTGAAAATGAATGAAGCACACGGTTCTTACACGCATCCACATTTAGGAAGATACAGTACAGTACAGAGATTAGCCTACCAACATTTAGGAAAATACACGCTTCTTATATGTATCCCACATTTAGGAAGATACAGTATAGTACAATGACTAGCCTACCAACTAACTATATAGCTATTACACCACATGTTTGACCGATCATGTTTGTTGTTTTCTTTTAGAAAAATATTCCATAACACCAACCTCCATGAAAACACAAGCTTTAGAGGATGCTTGGATACAAAATTATCCAAAAAAAATCCAATCATTTTTACGTCAACCACTTTTTTGAACTTAACTTTAACTCAACCTCACTATCATCAATATTATCGATATAATTAAATAATATCAATCAATCATTCTTACACGCCCCATCACTTTCCTTCACTATTCATCCACTCCCATAATTTTAACTAATCATCACTTCAAATCATCTATCTCCTACTTTTACATCAAATCAACTTTAATTGTTTTATTTTAAATATTATTTTACTATACCCACTAATAACTAACCATACCACTTTTTTCAAAATTAACCAAATTAAACCAAAAAATCTAAACAAATCCAAAACTTTTTATGTCCAAGCACCCCCTAGCAATTCAAATAATATGCTGGAAGCCACTCCCTATATGCATCTATATTTGTCATCTTAAGAGTATCAGGTGTTCATAAAATTGAGCAAAACTGACCAAAATATCTACTAATTCTCTGAATTGAGCTCTTTTTCCGAATTGCCAATAATTTCTCTTTATTTCTCTTTCTCGTTAATCGCCACAATTAGACACCAAAAAAAGTTATCAGACCAAGTGTTGAAAAGAAAGAAAAATGGGATCCAGATAGATATTATTGAATACCTGGTTGATCGGGATGCAAAGGGAGGTCAAGGTAACGCTCATGGTTGAGTTGAGATTCAAAAGACGAGTCGTCCAATAGGGCAGATTTGGAGCTGCAATTGCGACGGCGTTTGGGCGGAGGCGAGGAGAGGAGGTGGCGGACGTCGAACCGATCAATTTTTAGGGAGTTCCATTCAACAAGCACGTCGTCGGAGTTGACTAAGGCAGCCATGGCGTCGTCATCAAAGAGCATGGCGTGGCGTCCCACGACCTCCAAATCCATATCTGCTCGCTGCTTTCACAATAGCTGGATGGGATTGCTTACTGATTTTTAATAAATTTGTGATTATTTTCGAGAATTATATGCTTTAGATTTCATGGAACCCTAGAAATGAGGGGATTTCCGTAACATATTGTGCATCTCTCACTGAAGTTCCACTTTTAAATTAATAAAATTTTCCATTGAACCCTGACAATTTTTTTTTTTATTTTTTTTTTATTTTTTTGGTAAATTAACCTGATATTTTACGGTATGATTGTTTTTCGTTTTCCAATATTAACAATAAAAATTTAATCTCAACTCAAATCTAACTCAATTTTACTCAATTTTACTATTCTCAATATTATAAATTAATTTAATTAAATAATATCAATCAATTATTACTACACATCACTTCAACTTTAATTCATTATTCATCCACTAACATGATTTTAATTATCCAATCCAACCATCACTTCCGATCATGTATTTCTTACTTTTACATCAAGTTAACTTCAATTATTTTATTTTAAATATTATTTACAAACACAAAATTCCATACAAACCTAATCCAACCAACTTCTTGAAAATTAACTATAATTAACCAAAACATCAATCAAAACCAACAAATTCTATAAACAATCACACCCTAAATGTATTGCCAAGAATGTACTTATTGTTTCAACTTTACCATATAAATTGATAATGCTGGGAGAGCTCTGAAATTAAAGTCTCCAACGATTAAATTAGTGAAGTATCGTTATATAAAAATATTCAAGTAAAACTAGGACAATGAATGATCTTATAAATACACAAATGTATAACTCCCCATAAATTTTAGATGCACTCATCACAAAAATTTTAGATCCCAAAAAATACAATGCCTTATAGCCTACTTTCTGTTACATGTTTGCAATAATCGATGAGGTTCTCCATTGAGAATTTATCCCCTAACATATACCTACCTTATAGAGCTTACTTCCTTATACCTACCTTATAGAGCTTACTTACCTTATAGAGCTCATTGCTCACCACTTTCAAAACCAATTCACCATTGAAAGTCATCTCACAGATTCAAATCATATAATTTTACCTTTTTCTTTCTCTTGTTATATCCTCCAACTACCTTTTTCAATCGAGCAGAGAACTTCTCCAAATATTGAACAACACAACGTATTCCATCATCTTAATAGATCCCTGTCAGGTCGATGGTTCAATAATTTTCAAATCATTTTTGAGTAATATTTATACAACTTGCTCATTAATCGACTTATTAGCAAAAGCCTAAAATCATGGTTCCATCTATCTAACTCGCACATTGTGAAATCTGCCAGGTAATATGGTGGTACGTCAAAACCTCTCAACCGGCTGGAAACGGCTCGCTCGAACTCCGCCCCGCAGGTAGAACGTCGAGTACCTGCAAAGAACTCTCACACCGGATGAGTTTTCCGGTGAAGAGCTTCTGATGATTAAGTCAGTATAAGTTCTACTCAATTTTCAAGAGTATAATGGATAATTCGCGTAAATCATAAGGCTCACCCCTATATATAGTGGTGAGATACCTGCTGCCCGGATGAGCTGAGGTGGTTGCCCAAAGCTGCCCAGCCTGCCTGGTCGTACAAAACACACTGGAGGTGTGTCAGAGACGGTTATGCTACATGGATCAATCAGGTTATGCCACGTGTCCTCCGCACGTGGGGGTTTGATTTCTCTGAAATCCCCTCGAAGGCTCTCATCCTCGACCACATCCAGGTCGATCCACTGACTGCTCTTCGTCTGGTAACTGGTCGATCAGACGACCGTTTGTGGCGTAGGTCGATCTTCGACCAGACCTCAATGGGTCTGGGATTGACCTGCTCTCTAAATGTCAGAATCCCCTTGAAGCTATCTTTTCATTCCAGAGACTTTTGTTCCTGTGATATTCGACCATGACCACCCCTTTCACACTTCGCTCGACCAGGGCGGTTCAACTGATTTGCTAGATCGGTTTGCTAAGCTGGTTTTTTGGGCGGGTTATTCCTTTATGTATAGTATCCCATATCAGGTATAATTATATTAAAACTAATATATTACGGTTCATTAAAGTGGATTAGTCATGACCAAGGTTGTCAAAACCGGACCGGACCGACCGGTTCGACCGGGAACCGGCCACTATACCGGTTCGATTAGTGGTATGAAACCGGTAGGTCTCAAAACCGCCCAAACACCGTTCTAACCGGTCAAATCGGGAGAACCGGAAGCGGCTGGAGCGGCCGAGGGGTCCACTATTGCATTTGCATGTAACAACAACAACACCACTTAAATAGCTGATATTTTTTGTTTGTGTATCCAATGTGGTATCTTCACAAATTAAAGGTTATTGGGCTTTTATTGCATTATTGGGTCATATTTAATAATTGTTTAAAGAATTGGTCTTGGCACGTGCCACCTCTCACTCTGCCTAATGGAAGTGAGTTCCTTATTGGGCCTTACTATTTACTAATTTGTCATTTACCTTATTAGAATGCTAATTGATTTCAAAATTTATCTTCCATTATAATATAATGATATAATCACATTATTTGTTATGAAAATAATATTACTTATTAATATTATAATATCATGTTAGCTAAAATAATTAGACTATAATTGGTTTCTTATTTATTTTTTCTTTAATTTATTTAGAAAAATTTCATTATACCCTATAAAATAAATAATAAAAATTTATAAAATTATATATTATACATATAAAATAAATAAAAAGTATATATTAATTCAACCGGTTCGACCGGTTCGACCACTGATCCGACCAGTGAATCATTGAACCGGTAGCTTCACCGGTTCGATGACCGGTCCGGTTTTGACAACCTTGGTCATGACACTTCTCTATCCCAAAATGGAGAAATGGTGGCAAGGATTTTGCCTTCATTGTACAAGAATTATGAATCAGAATATTCCATGTTCAAAAGCTAAAGTTTCTTAACTGCAAGGTTAGGACATTTTGAACAAAATGAAAGAGAAACAACAAAAGCATATTTTACCACTTTTTTGAACCCCTATCCTTGGTGTAAGCATTGATTCTCAAGACAAAAACAAGAGAATATCATAAAACAACTAGATCACTTTTTTTTTTTTTTAATGTTCCTTCTAGCCCCCATGAAAAATCAACTACAAACATGATTTCACATCTACTACTACAAAACACGAATACATCTAGACAACCAAGTACTTTCATCTCTTGCTTTGGCCCCATAACCGAACATATGAACTCCAAATGAACTTTTTTCGAACTTAATTATGAACTCCAGATGAAATTATCGACTCTGAGTTCACAGCCCCAACAAGATGTAGTAGACGAGTGTTATTGGTAATGCTATTAGCATTCCAAAAATGACTCTGCGCATTAAAGAGAAAAGATTGGTCGACAGTTAAGATCACTACATATATATAGAAAAAATAGCTCTATCAAAGTACAATACTATTTAATCACATATACTCACGCCGTGCTGAGGATATCAGGGTACACATTGTACTCCTTGGCGAAAACAAAGGGTACAATTCCTTGAGGTAGAGCCGCCTGCAAATTACATGCAAATTAAAAAACTAAAAGAAAATGAATATAGACAAATTAAATATATAAATATATTTCCAATTGGCCTGTAACATATTATGTTTCTTATGCTTATGACTTTTTTTTTTTTGGTTTTTTATAATTTAGATTCTCCTTCACTGTAGCATTGTACCGTTGCACTTCAACTTATTGAACATCCTTTCTTTGGGAACTAAAATTATATAAG